TTAAAAAACCAAACCCACGCCGATTGAGTCAGTTCTGAATCTTTCTTGGAACAGACAGCCTCATCTTTCTTCCAAGGAGCTGCCCGTGGGTTTGAAACACCAACCTTGCAGTTAGCAATCCAGTGCTTACCTGACAGCTTCCCTGGTGCTCCCTTGTTTATTAAAAGGAGTCCAGATGGCGCTGTAGGGTAAGCACTGACTGACAACTGCAAGGTTGGTTTTTCAGACCCACAGGTAGCTCAGCGAGACAAGGATGAGGCTGTCTGCCCCCAGAAAGACTTACAGCCTCGGAAACCCTATATTGGATCATATGAGCCGGCATCAAATGGTTTGGGTTATTAATTGGTTAGTAATGATTAATTATTAAAGGGCAGATGGTCCTAGACGATGACATTAATAGCTTCCAAAGAACAGCATCTTCTGATGCTCACCTCTTTGTGTAGTTCTCTCCCACCTTGGGCTTCAGCTTGGGCACGTGACTTGCTTTGTCAGTGGGCTATGAGCTGGCAAATGCAAGTAGAAGCTTGTTCGTTTACACCTTGAGACTTATGCTCTTGGAAGCCACACCACGCTTTAAAGAAGCATGGGTTAGACTACGGAGTGACAGGCCAAATGGAGAGAGGCCCTGGAGGATGAGCGCCCATCTGAGATGTTCCAGCCCCAGCTGAAGTCTCAGGTGAAGGAAGGCAGCCACAGGAATTATCTCAGCTGTACCACCTAGAGCAGTCCAGTGATACCGAGCCAAACCACCAATTAATGGTAAACAATCAATCCTTGACGTTTTATGTCACTGCTCTTTGGGGATGGCTTGTTACTTAGCAACAGATAATGAAAGACAAAAACTGTGGGCAGTCACAACCTCTCAGGAGGCTGGACAGACATATTGATTGACACTTTCAGGATGCTTCTTCCGGACAGAAACCTAGTATAGTTGAACTGATCCTGGCAAAATGCGAGGCACAGGGTCCTTAATTCATAACGTCCAGAGTTCCCAGCACTCCTGGCCCTGTGGTTTCCACGCTTCCTTATGCTAGCTTCCTCAGAGCCTTGGGCTCTCTCTGTTCATATCTCCAGCAAGAATAATTCTCAGATCTTTCGTTCACACTGTGCTGTAGTTAATAGCTTAAATTGGAACGGAAAAGTTCCAGCTAAAATATTTAAATGTAAAAGGTGGAATCCAGGCATCAGTCATTCTCACCTCCAAACTTCCTTTCAAACTTGGTCTCAGATCAGGCCCCCTCTGGCCTGAACGTGGTATTCATTCATTAGCAAATACGTGGGAGATACATACAAGACTTTCAAGTCAGGAGAATGGTGTTTGAAGCCTGCCACTTGCCAGCTGGATGAGCCTGGCCGTGCCAGCTCTCTTCATTGAGCCTCAGTTTCTACACGCGTAAAAGGCGAATAGTCAAGTCTTGCATCTGGGGTGGTTGTGCTAAATGAGATGAGGCAGGTACGCACACACACACACACACACACACACGCACGCACGCACGCACGCAGCAACCATCATTATTATCACAAAGTGCCAGGATGGGGCTAAGAACCAGGGATAGAAAGGTCAAAGAAACCGAGAGTCTCAGTGTTCAAGAGGATCGCAGTTCATCTGTCCATTTTATCTTCTCCATCTCAAGCTGTTTTTCAACTCCAAATGCAGTCTGCTCCCTCACACCTGGGCTAGTTAAGTTTTAGGTCCACTTGGCTGGCCCAGGATTCTCCGTAGTTGAGGCCTCCTCCAGAACGTGCGCTAACATAATATAATCAACTCCGTAACGGGATCTTCTGTGAACGGCCAAGCGGTTGTGGAAAGATTAGAGTTGAGTGCTACCCCTTTAATCAGTCACAGCCCTGATGCAACGGAAAGGACGTTTCTTCGGGGTTGTGGCCTACGCCTATTGAAACAGACTCTGTGGGAAGACTGGTCTGCATCCTGCATCTGGTTCATTGATCTCTCGTTCTTTGGACCTAAGCCAACAACCTGCTAGATTGCCTGTCAACCCTAGGAGCTATCAGTGGCCTGCCATATTGCCTGCGGACCTTGGATTCACTCACCTCTGCAGCCAAGAGCTGAATTCAGTCACTTGTGCCTCCCCCTCCCCTTTCTGCCTTCACTAACACAAGCCTTCTTGCTTTCAGGTTCATATCTTGTTTCCTGGTTCATTGGCACTGACAGCTACATGTGTCCAAAAAAAGCCTTCAGCTTAGCATCTGATCCACAGACTTGAACTAGACTGGACTTACCCACTTCTACACCTGTGTGAGCCACTTTCGTGATATACATTTCTTTCCCTATGTACACAGCATTACACGTTTCATTTCGCTAGGGAACACTAAACCTGTGCTCATGTTTTTCCATCAGTGTAGCATGTTGTTTACCATCTCTATGGAATTCAAACTTATTCTACAATGTAAGCCAGTTTGCTACCTTCTTATGAAAGACTTCCCTGTCTCATCAAGTCCCAGGACGTTCCGGCTGCCCAGCATGCTTTGTGCCCTTATGGGGCATTTAGTTAGTCCCGCCTTCCAGGTCACACATTCCCAGCAGCGGCAGCGTGGGAAGGAGCTGAGTCTTCTCTCAATTTTCTGTTCCCTCCCACCTTAGAATAATTTTTACAGTATCTTCTAAGCACTCTGTATTGGCTCATTTAATCCTCTCAATAATCCTTTCTTTAGTCTCATTTTTGTGGGTACCTGTTGTCCAGTCAGCTCCTGACCCGTGGAGACCCCACACACCGTGGGATGAAATGCTGCCACCATGTCGGTGATCAGAGTGTGGTGATTCATTGTCAGATGTAGAGCCCCAGACTTTTCTTTCAAGTCGATTTGGAACACCCAAACCACTGACACGGAATTCATTCCAACTCATAGTGACCCTGTAGGATGGGGAAGAACTTCAACTTCCTCTTTGGATTTTCAAGGCTGCAAATCTTTAGATAGATAGATAGATAGATAGATAGATAGATAGATAGAGTTCTATTAGGGGCTCACACAACACCCATCACAATCCATCCATACATCAATTGTGTAAAGCACATTTGTACATTCATTTCCCTCATCATTCTCAAAACCTTTGATCTCCACCTAAGCCCCTGGCATCAGCTCCTCATTTTTCCCTTCCCTCCCCTCTCCCCACTCCCTCATGAATCCGCCGTCCATCCCCCAGGCTGCAAATCTTTAAGGGAGCATAAGTCCTCATCTTTCTTCCTCAGAGTGACTGGTGGAGTCAAACTGCTGACCTTGTGGTTAGCAGCCCAACATGGAACCTCCTGTGCCACCAGGATTCTTGAATTGGTTTTGGAAGCACTGCTGAAATCCGTTCAGCATCATGGCAACACTCGAGCCTGCACTGGAACATGCGTGGTGTTTGCACAGAAGGTGCATTGACTAGGAATCCATTCTACTTGGAAGGTAGAATTCTACCACCAGCATACTTCAGATCCCATTTTATACATGAGAACCCTATTAACAACCCAGGCCACAGAGCTAATAAGTTGCTGAACTGGATTTGAGCACAGGCACAGGATTCTAGAGCTTGTGTTCTTAACCATGAGAGGAAACGCCTCTTGGAACGAAACTAGGGGTCAACTATCACTGGGGACTCTAGAGGTTGGTCAAATGGAGCCACAGCCTGGTTTGATTATTGAACGGAACCAATGTTTACTGACTATCTCCAATATTCCTAAGATGCAGAGAGGGATAGTGGTTCAAGTAAAGGATTCCGGAGCTTGGCTACTTGGCTCCACCATTTACCAGTCGTGGGACTTCGTGCCTCAGTTTCATCACCTTTAAAATGGGCCTAACAATAGCCCTTGCTTTGCTGAGTTGCGAGAGCTAAAGCAGTTAGTGGATGTAAGCGCTTACAACACAATACGCCTGGTGTTGTTGTTAATGTGTGCCTTGCGGTTGATTGTGATGCTACAGGGCAGAGCCCAACCGCTCTATTGGGCTTCCGAGGTTGTAATCTTTATCTCCTTCCAAGAGGCTGGTGGGTTCCAGTCGCCGATCTTTTGGTTAGCAGCCAGACATGCACCTATTGTCACGCCAGGGCTCCTAAACATACAAGTGTTAGCTGTTCCTGCCACGCAGTAGCCTCTCCTGACACAAGGAGGAAGAAAAGGCCGTTTCTGACCTCAAGGGGTTGACATTCTGTCAGAAGTCAGATTTCACAAAACGCGGCAACAGACGATTCTGCACCTGCAGGTAAGGTTTTGGGGGGGGGGCATTACTAGAGGGAGCACCCCACCTCAGGTCAGGATGGGAGTGCTAGCTTCCGAGGGGAAAGGGAGTAGGTGCTAACCAGGGAAAGGGCCCAGGAATGGGAAGGGTCTCCCAGACCACGAAAGAACGTGCAAAAAAGCTTAGAGCCCAGGAAGGCTGGGATTTGTTCCGTTTCTAAAGTTCTGTCTTTGAATTCTTGATTTTCTCTTTAGTTACTCACTACACTCGCTAACTGTTCATACTTCCATCAAAGTAACTTCCCCCCACCTCCAGCCCACCCCCACCCCCGTCTACTTTCTACCCACCTATCCAAGCCTGACCCTCTCTAACATGGTGACCTGAGGTATCAAAGCCAGAGGGGAGGGGGTATGGTGGAGAGGTACTGTAACATCAGTGTTTGACCTTTCCATCTTTTACCCAGATTAGGCATCCATGGAGTGGGGTGACATTAGATCAGGGAAGGACTGGACCCTGAGGTTGGAGAATGGGCAGCCTCTTCAGCTGCCAGCCCCTGGGTGCAGGCCCGGGAAGTGGATGGGCACAACCACCCGCAGGAAGCTTATGGAGTCTGCAGAGAGAGAGGCTCCAGAGAAGAAGAGGCGGGCCTTCTCAGGAGAACGAAACCATTACCAACATCCCAGTTGCTCATTCCCCTGAGCTACCAGCCAGAACCTGTGAAGTGGGTGCCCGGGATTAGGAGAGAAGAGGCTGTGAGGAGTTGGGGGCTAGGTTGGTGAGGAAATTTTTCCTTTCCTTGAGAGGTGAGGTCAGGTTTGGGGGGCGATCTATAGACCAGGAACCCACCTGTCTCAGCAAAGCTGATGATCTCATATTCCTGGGCCCCGTTCGCCTCAGGAAGCACCCCCTGTGGGGGCCTCTGGAGGCTCTGCAGTGCCGTCCTCAGAGCAGCTTTGGACACGGGCCGGCTTAGTGTTGGTCGCTGGTTGAGGTGCAGCTTGTCCAAGATGCTCCTCTTAGCAAAGTCCAGCAGCAGCTCCCGTTGGCTCTCCAGGTTCAAGGTAGGGCCCCCACATGCTGGACACTGACTGCCAGCTCTGGGAGTGGTCACTGTGGCCAGAGGCAGGAACAGGAAGGCCAGGAGCAGTGAGGAGGTCATTGCTGGGGGAAGCCCTTCTCGAGCAGTAGCCCCAGGAAAGAGCTGTGAACCTGGGGCTCAGAGGCTCAACAGCTGTGGGGCCTCTCTAAGCTGCCAGGGACTCTGGAAGGGGTGTCTGTCCAGCTGGCATGACTGTATTGCAGGGGATAGGGCAGCCAAACATCTGATTTGAGAAATGAAGCCAGTCCCAGGTAGAAGCTGGCAGCAGCTACCAGTGCATAATCCGGGAAAGTACAGAGTGGGGGATGAGAGAGGAGGTTGTTTTGTTTGGGGAAAGAAATGTCCCTTGGCCAATTCAGACAGTTGTTACCCATGTGAGCTGTCAGGCCTGAGGACAAAGGTTATAGCTGCAATTCTTCCTCAGATTATGTGAAGCTTGGGGAAGCTGGGGTGGGGGAGGGGGAGGCTTTGAGATAGAGCATTAAAAGATGATCTATCTAGAGCAGCGGTTCTCAACCTGTGGGTTGCGACCCCTTAGGGGGTGTGGAACGACCCTTTCACAGGGGTCGCCCGATTCATAACAGTAGCACAATTACAGTTATGAAGTAGCAACAAAAATAATTTTTTGGTTGGGGGGTCACCACCACATGAGGAACT